TTTTCCCTCGTAGCGCTGAAGCATTTTCTGACGGAGACATCAAGTTCAATAGCTGCCACAACTTGATAAACCCGACGATCATTCGCAGCACAAACTAAGGGATGGTGGCGCCTACCGAAAAACTTTAGAATGAACGCGAGACTACGACTAACTTGGACATAACTATCGGATTCAAGTAAGCAAATCGAAATTTAATCATATTGCAAGATGGAACCCATTTTTGTAGAAGCTAGAGAAGGTAAAGATAATAGTGTAGAAATAAATAAATTTAGAATTCAATTAGCAATTAGCACTATACCCAATTTTGATGGCAATTCAGATGACCTTTATAGATTTTTAAGTACTGTAGACTCAATTTTAGATGATGTAGATTTTAGGACATATAAATTTATATCAAAAATTGTTATATGTAAATTGAGTGGAACAGCTTTTGATAGCATTAGACGGGCTGATTATCAGTAATGGTATAATATCAAACCTATTCTAATTAAACGTTTTAAAAGTAGAAGGTCATTCACTGAATTACATCACGAGCTAGCAACAACAATAGGAAAAAATGGAGAATCAATTGAGAAATTTGCTGAGAGGATTGAGAGTCTGCTTACGTCAATTAATAATGAATGTTATTTTACCCAGAATGAATTCCATCATATTGTGACTTGGCTTTGACCGTTTTCGTTAAAGGCCTACTATTTGACCTGAAACATATAGTTAAAGCAGCCAAACCGGAAAATTTGAAGGATGCAAAGAATATCGCTGCAAAGGAAGAAAAATATTTAAACATCAGATCTGATAAAAAATACAACCCATAAGTCACTTGCAAATACTGCAAGAAAAGGGGACACAATATTAACCAATGTCGAAAAGAGTCCGAAGAGTCCGAAGAATCCGAAGAACAAGAAGAATACAAAGCAGACAGTTTGACTCACAACACCAAATTAGAAGAGTTGACGACAATCGCTGCAAATTCATACGAAGAAGAAAAGGATCTATATGAGGCAGAAGATATGGAACAAACTATACAAACAAACTCATACGAAGAAGAAAAGGATCTGAACATATATGTGGCACAAGATATGGAACAAACCCAAGATGAGGTTTACGACATGAAAGAAATAAATTATGAACAAGAAGAAACAAGAATACTTAATGATGAAGGTCCAGAATATATGAAAACTATTCCCATTAAAATAAAAAAGAAAAAGAAAAAGAAAAGAAATATTAAAAGAAGAAAAATTAATGATCAAATTGCAGAAGAAAATAATCAAGAAATCAGGGAATATAATGTTAAAATGATAAGAAAAATACCTTCACAACGGAAGTTGTCTATAAATGGAAATATAGCCACTATGACAGATATAATCAACCGTAAGAATATGAATTTGAACACAAAGAAGATATATGCACATTTACAAAGCCAAAGCAGCAGAAAATTGATATCGTCGCAAACTCATGTTAAGAAGAGAAACATTCCCGATTTTATTATATTCAGAAAAGCTACAAAATTGTTCAATTATAAATACCGGAAGAAAATAAAACTTCGCCAGGTGTAAACACATTAGTAACAACGCAAGTCATTTTGTTTGGTTGACGTAAGCGAATTCTCATATTTCAAAGAAGCATTTGTCCAATTTTGATTACCTAGCAAATTTTTCAAGTATTAACAATACAACGTAAATTTAAATTTTTATTAATTACTATTTATGATTTAAATTATCAAATGCAAGATTTTTTACGCCATTAATATTTTTTGCAGATTTTAGAGACATTTTTCATATTATGATTTTATGCTCTATTGATATAACAGTTTTGAAAAAAAATTATTTTGCATCATTTATGGTAAATTGTTCGAAGCATATTTTGTTTTACCCTAATAACATTTTAAATTTCAGTGATGTCTTTACATAATCAGCGACCATCTAATTTGCATTCAACTGCTGATTTTTTTTTTTATATGTGTGTTATTAAAGATTTATTCATGTAGAGATAAAAATAAAATTATTATTAGATTTTTTTTTCAGAACACATTATTTGTTAACATATTCTAACAGTAATGACACTTTTGAGGACAAAAGTTTTTAAGGGCCGAAGGAAGAAGAGATGGAACTCATTTTTTTTTAAATTTTTTCTTAATTTTTATAGTTTTCCGAGGACGAAAAACTTTTGAAGAGCGAGGTTGAACTGTAATAACAATTCGAATCATTATTTTGTTTAATAATTACAAAACGCGTTGCTAGTTATATGTAGGTTACGCGGACATCGGAAGTGCTTACTGTTGGATTTTGTAAATAGGTTGTAAACAATAATATTAGTATATAAGAGTTAGACAAAAGTTAGACAGTCAGTCAAGCCTAGAGTCAAGCTCAGAGTCAAGTCTAGAGTCAAGCTTTGAGTCAAGCTTGGAGCCAGACATAGTATTCAGTAAAATGTAGTCTTTGCTGATATGATAACCAAAAGGTTATCAATAAATATTAATTGTAAAAATAGTGAATAATAAAAGTATCATTCAAAGAAAGAAGTGCGTTTACAAATTACTATCAATCGCTGTTCGTCCTAAAGGCCTATTACACTACCAGTGGACTCTGGAGAGTCCACATTCACAAATATAATATTTCAACAACTATTTAACTGTTCACCGCTCGGGTCCAGCCTATCATTACCATTCTTGGTCGTACTGGTGATCCAGAACATACATCCAAATACACTACTAACCAGCCCAGGACACTTTACTATTTATATTTTTAAATTTCTGTTTTATATTATTTCATGGAACTTTCATGCATAGACATATTAGAATATCACATGCATAGACATATGATCATAATAATATATTTATATCTTTATAAAATTATGTTCAAATATAATATTATAAATTATGTTTTGTCATTGATAAAAATTAAAACAGTAACAATATAATACAAATAGTATTACTACAATTATTAAATACAATATTAGCTGCAGTTATATTTAAATTATTATTATCAAAAATAATAAAATATATAAAAATAAATTTATGCTTAAAAAATATTGTCAATTTTTCTTAACGATTATTCTCCTTTTTATCAATGTATGCGTATACGCAAGGGGCTGCTAGCGAACCTTTTGTGCACTGATGGTGCACCGCTTAATGTGTGTCCCTTTCAAGTGCATGCAGAAATGCCCCTCTCTCTTTCTGCCCAGCTGCGTTCAGTTATGGCCAAATACATCAGTTATGTTTTGTAAATAAATCGGTAACGATTTATTAACCAAAATTAATAAATTTATTAATTTTTAAACTATTACACTTCGTAAAATGTTCGACAGACCAAACGACTTGACGCGCGTTTGGTCAGATGCGAACACATGTGTTTGTTTTATCTCTAAATTTTGACTCCGCATCTCGGACACTTACAAAAATATCATTCTGTATGGCATTGGCCTCGGATACACGTGTATTTATGTATAATATTTTTATTTATTAATTACTTTTTATTTTTTATTCTTTTTATAATAAAAAAATTACTGACATTTGGTGCTTGCTTTCAATTATTAATTTTTACAAGCTGTATTAATATGTGTTAGTGATAATCTAAGAAATTCAAGTAAGTTTTATGCATTTTTTAATTTAAGGCTTAGATATAATTAGTCTGTCTCTTTAGTTAAACCTTTTCTTTTTACTATTACTTATGTATATTCAATTTTTAACGTTACTTTCTGTTTTTTTTTTTAAATTGTAGAACCACTGACGATGACGTAGAATTTTTCGTCGAAATAAATAATAAAGATAAATATGTTTTAATAAAAAATAAAAATAAAGATGTTTTAAAAAATCTTTACCTTACTTATATTTTTTACTTGATGTTACGCCCTCCAAGAAATCAATCATACATTTCAACATCAAATTTAAACACTTACAACACACACACACATATATATATATATATATATATATATATATATATATATATGTAAGTAAAATTATGTAATTTCTGCCACGACTTCTGTACTTTGCGAGTACCGAGGCATGTATGTACGATACTGCAAATGCAAGAATCTCAGCAACTTTATTACTGACAAACATTTTTAATAGAGCGGGATCTGTCTTCAACCAAGCTAATACAACGGTGGAGTCACACCACAAAAACGATTCAGAAATTTGTATTTTTGTGATTGTCATTATCTGTCTATAAAGCTTTGCTAAAAGCAAAGCTGCCGATAACTCCAATCTGGGCAAAGTGACATTTTTTAACGGCGCTACCTTAGACTTCGAGCAAAGCAATCTCGAAAACGTTGTGCCATCTGCATAGGTAGCCCGAAGGTATATACAAGCACCATATGCATATAATGATGCATCTGAAAATCCATGACATTGGATCGTCACAGGAATTGAATCAAAGATCTTTCATGGGATGATAAGGTTGTCCAAATCAGCGAGATGCCTTTTGAACAGTACCCATCTATCTTGCAACTCTTGTGGCAAAGACTCATCCCAGCCAAGATTCTGCCTCCACAACTCCTGCATAATCAACTTAGCTGTCACAGATACTGGAGAAATAAGACCAATGGGATCATAGATCTGTGCAAAGGTGGACAGTACCGACCGTTTTGTGTCAAAACCCTTTCTAACCTCCGTCTCCCCTACCTTAATATGCGAAATTTTGAAGCAATCCTGAGAGGGGTTCCAAGCGAGACCGAGGGTTTTGATCGTGTCTACCTCAGAAAATAACGCCATGGCAGAACTTTGATTTTCTTTAGGTACTGACCCCAACACTTCTCTACAATGGCTAGACCATTTATGTAAGGAAAAGCCTCCTTTACCTAAAAGTTCAACAACATCCCTTTGCAATCTAACTAATTCGACAGCTGAATCTGCTCCAGTGATTATGTCATCTACATAGCAGTCCCCTTCTATAGCCAGCGCTGCCTGTGTGAATGTTGTCATATTATTTTGCGCAAGCATCTTCAAACAGCGCATAGCTAAATACGGGGCGCTAGCAGTGCCATAAGTCACGGTAATCAATTTAAAGAATTTTAAGGTGTCCTGGGGTGTTTCTCTCCATAGGATAATTTGATAATTTTGGTCTGCTTCCCTGACTCTTATTTGCCGATACATTTTTATAATAATAATAAGAATAATAACAAGAAAATAAATCTTGTTGCAGCTTCGGTCCTGTGTGCAGAATATTATTTAAGGAGATGCCTGAAGTTGACTTGGCCGATGCGTCAAACACTACCCTAATTTTGTCAAAGTTATTATCTTTGACCACTGGATGATGCGGCAAGAAATAGTGTTTATTCTTAGCAGCTTCCTCCAGTGTCAGCATCATCTCCTCAGCATGACCTAAGTCGATGTAAGCTTTAATAAAAATAGAGTAGGCTGTGAACAAGACACTATCCCTGGCAAACCGCCTCTCCAGGTTCAAAAATCTATATTTAGCAACAGCGAATGACGACCCCAGCTTATCTATATGGTTATTTAAAAATGGCAAAGCCACCTCAAACTGCCCATTCTCAATTCTAGCTACATTTGCAATGAAATGATCCTCACATGCTTTGTCTGACCCAGTCATTGTATAATTAAAGGATACCTCCTCTAACTGCCAGAACTTTGTCAGACTATCATGAAGATCTTCATTGGAAATGAAGCCAACATGTGCACTGCTCTGCATTTCTGATGTGTATACACCAGAAATCAGCCACCCGATCCGGCTCGAAGGACCAAATTATGGTAAATTAAAACGTTGGATGGATTGTTAATATTATATATTTTAATAGATCTTTACTCTTCGGCGGTGTATGATATAAGAGAGCGAATCTTACAATTTTGACGTAAAAGTTGCGACAGGTTATATCAAACGCGAACATTGCGATTGACTTACATGTTACCAACATACAAGACGCTGACGTTTCGTGCTAACAGTACGCACGAAGCGCGCGGTTTTTAAAGTTAAGAATGAACAATTTTGTCCACAATGATAAGCGGTTTTTTGTAATTTTTTCCATTTATTTCTACAATCTAACTATATTTCTATGAATCTAATAATTCTAGAAAATTTCCCAAACAAACTTCAGGAAGATTCATGAAAATCCGAATTATAGTTTAGAAGCATTAATAATTCGTACATAGTTACAGAAGAATTCTATATATAAGATATGATTGATAATTTATATATTACGTTTTAGGGACGTGAAAATAGGCTAGCTATCATTAAAAACGCTGGAAAAATGTTATAAAAGATGTACTGTCTGATATCTATTTTTGCATAAATAAATAAATAAATAAATAATATATATATATATATATATATATATATATATATATATATGATAAAATTGTTTCTTGTTACAAATTTGCAACGAAAAAATAAATATGAAATAAAAAAATTCCCAAACAAACTTCAGGAAGATTCATGAAAATCCGAATTATAGTTTAGGAGCATTAATAATTCATACATAGTTACAGAAGAATTCTATATATAAGATATGATTGATAATTTATATATTACGTTTTAGGGACGTGAAAATAGGCTAGCTATCATTAAAAACGCTGGAAAAATGTTATAAAAGATGTACTGTCTGATATCTATTTTCTGATATCTATTTTTGCATAAATAAATAAATAAATATATATATATATATATATATATATATATATATATATATATATATGATAAAATTGTTTCTTGTTACAAATTTGCAATGAAAAAATAAATATGAAATAAAAAATTGATAAAACGTCGAGTTATGAAAATTTTAAGAAAAATTGTAAAATTAAAATAATTAATATATTTTATTATAAAGAAGCTTTTTCCAAACGAACATGTTGTCAGTTTGGAATATGTATGACGTGTGACACGTGTGACTATAATAATTAATAAAATATATTAATTATTTTAATTTTACAATTTTTCTTAAAATTTTCATAACTCGACGTTTTATCAATTTTTTATTTTTCGCTTTCAATGTCCTATGCCATCGCTCCACGAGTCTATTAGCCCGAGGGTGGTAAGCTGTTGTACGTGTTTCCTTCGCTCCAACTGCCTGAGCCAAATACCTGAATAGAGCTGACTCAAATTGTGTGCCTTGGTCAGAAGTTATTGTTGTTGGAGTCCCAAATCTTGAAATCCAGCACGTAAATAACGCTTGTGTGACTGTGTCGGCTGTGATATATCTGAGTGGTATAGCTTCTGGCCATCTTGTAAACCTGTCTATAATTGTTAAACAATATGAGAAACCATTAGTATTTGGTGAGTGAATGATATCAATATGGATGTGAGAAAATCTTTCATCTGGTACAGGAATGTGCACGGGATTGAAACGGTTGTCTTTGTGGACTTTCGACTTTTGACAGAAGATGCATTGGCGAGTTCAAGTAGTAATATCCTTTCCAATTTCAGGCCATACATATCGTTTGCGGACTTCTCTGGATGTAGTCTTGATGCTTGCATAAGAAATACCATGTATTACATCAAATGCAGTTTTGCGGAGTTTCTTTGGAAGATAAGGTTTGACAAAATTAGATTCGATATTGCAATATATTGGAAAACCATCCAATGTCAATTTGTGGAGTTTCAATGATGTTTCTCCATCAAGTAATATCTTCAATTCTGGGTCCAAATTCTGCTCAATGCTTATCTCCTCAGTTGACAGTTTCGTTGGCATTTCTATTGTATTGTTTCTTGAGAAGGTATCTGCTATAACGTTTTCATCACCTTTCACATACACAATTTCAGTGGAGAACTGGGAAATGTATTCTAATTGTCGTTTCTGTCTATCTAAAGCCTTTTCAAGTTTTTGCAAAAATGCATATGCGATTGGCTTGTGATCAGTCTTGATTTTAAAATATCTTTCTTCCAGGAGATATTCAAAATGCTTTATTGCAGCAAATATGCCAAGTAGCTCTCAATCATATGTTGAATACTTCTGTTCTGTTGTTGTTAGTTTTCTGGAGTAAAAACCAATGGGTTGACAGGCACCATTTTCTTCCTGCTCCAGAGTAGCACCAATAGCTGTTGTAGAGGCATCCGTCACTAAGCAAATATTGGCTGATATTGATATCTGGATATCGAAGTAGTGCTGCATTTGCAAGTGCTTTTCTAATGTCATCAAAAGCCTTAAGAGATTCTGGGTTCCAGACAATTAAAGTTTTGTCCTTTTTCACTGAACTTCGTAGATAATTATTTAAGGGTGATTGTATTCTTCCTGTCTTTGGTACTGACTTCCTGTAGTAATTCACCACTCCTAGAAACCTACGTAGTTCCAGAACTGTGGTTGGTTGTGGAAAGTTTAAAATTTTGTCCACTCGGTGTGTTGATGGAGAATATCCGTTCGCACTAAGCTTGTAACCCAGAAAATCTACTTGGAACTTGCCTAGGACGCATTTGTCGGTGTTGATGACAAGTGAGTGTTCTTGAAGTCGCTCAAGCACAATTTCAAGGTGATGATGTTGCTCTTTCACACTCTCAGACATGACCAGGATGTCATCCACGTATATGAACGCAAAGTCAATATCTTGAAATATGTGATTTATGTATCGCTGGAAAGTCTGAGTAGCATTCTTCAATCCAAACGGCATACAAAGATACTCAAACAATACCCATGGGGTTATAATAGCTGTCTTCTGAATGTCCTCTTCATGCATCGGAACTTGATGATAAGCTTTGGCAAGGTCCAATGTAGAGAATAGTTTTTTCTTATGTAATGCTGAAAAAACATCATGAATTAATGGTGGAGGATACTTATCAGGTAATGTGCTTGCATTCAGTTTCCTGTAGTCAACGCAAAGTCTATATGTTCCATTCTTCTTTGGCACCATATGAATAGGGCTTGCCCACGGACTGCTTGATGGTCTTAACATGCCCCTGTTTAGGAAATTTTGAATTTCGGCTTTTGCTGCTATAGCTTTTTCACCGAAAATCTTCCTGAACCTGGCAGCAACTGGTAGACCTGTTGTAGAGATTCTGTGCGCAAAAGGAGACTGCTTAATAGTTAATTTGTGTGGTTCATTAGTGACAGATACATATTTTGTTAGTAGATCCTTGAACGGTTGCTGGGGATCTATTGTGGAGATATTGATATTACCAGCTTTCAAAACTCTTAACTTCCCATAGGGCAATTTATAGTAATCGCAAAAAAATCGAAAATATTTTGACATACCTTAGAAAAAATGGATGTATGTGTGTGTGAACATGTGTGTGTGCGGATAAAAATTTTTGTCGACGATTTCGGGAACACCGATCAACTGATTTGAATAATTCAAAAAAGGTTTGATTCGTATTGATACGGAGACGTGCTGATTAGTTTTCAAAGAAGGCAGGTCTAGCCGTTCCGAAGATACAGGGCAAAAAGTGTCAAAAATGGTAATTCAGTTTTTAAGAGAACGGAGCGTCCGATTTTAATAATTCCAAAAACATTTTACTTGTATTGACAAGATAAATAACTGATTAAATTTTTGGAAAGGCGGGGCCAGCTGTTATAGACTCTCAATAAAAATAAGTTAAAAAAATGTCATTTGGCGGTCAAAAATGTTTATTGGACATATGTACAGCAAATTATCAGATATTTTATAGAGATTTTAATAATGTGTACACATTTTGTGTATTTTTTTTTTTTGGGTTTCGTACCAAGATTTTTAATTTTGAACTTTATTTATATGGTTCAAATAAATGTCCTCGTCATTTTTGACGGTATGGAATAACCGATTTATAAAATTGAAAAATGGGTTCGTATTCGATCGCCAGGCGTTTTTGCTGAAGGCAATTTTGACGTTCTGGAGGTGTCAAAATGTTTATGCAGTTTTTGAGAGCACGAATCATTCGATTAGATTAATTCACAAAACGTTTTGCTTGAGTAGACAGTAGAGTGAAAAAATGCATTTACAGTAAATTTAATAATTTTGAAAATTTTAAAAAAATCAAAATTTTCAAAAAAAATCAAAGTTTCAAAAAATTCAAATTTTTGAAATTGTTTATAATTTTCAAAAAAAAAGATTTATTACAAAAATTATAGAATATTTCAGTAATTTCAAAAAAATCGAATATTTTCAAAAATTTACAAAAACTCATAATATTTAGAAAAGCCGTTTTTTTAAATTCCAAAAAATTTCAAACTTCTAAAACAATTTCAAAATTTTGAAAAAATTTCTAAATTATCAAAAAAATCTAATTTAAAAAAATGGACTTTTGTAAACGTGTAGCGTACGCTTGACAGCTGACAGTTGAGCGACGCCGATATAAATCGCACAACACACAACGACACAACTGACAGTTGAGTGACGCCGATATAAATCGCGCAACACACAACGACGCAACGGAGGGAACGCAAGTGAAGTTCGCAATTAACGGTTGCAAGTCTGAAGTTATCTAGAACGTCGAATTTAGCAACCCTTGCGCGAGGGGATATAATACGGACAAGATAATAATTCTCTCTCTGGTTTGCTTCCGCGTTTTTTGCCGAGTGAACTTAATGAATAAATGAATTGCTATGTCAAAGTTAAATATTATATTAGATTCTTTGTACAGTTTTGGGGTTATTTATAAACTTGTGTTATTATAGTGTTGTTACTGTTTCATTGTGAATAATATAACTTATATAGACTCACAAAGTCTATAATTAGTGACTCCGGACGCAGAAAACAAAAGCACGTGACTGCAACAAAGAAATTACTAAG